ATATATGTGTGTGTGTGTATATATATATATATATATATAATACTGACAACTTGGCTTTAGGATAATATTAAATCTCTGTTCTTCTTGTTATCAGCTCTTCATCTGGTAATGAGTAAGTTGGCTGCTGTCTTTGACAACATTACCATCACAGTGAAGTGGTTGCTGCATCCATTTCAAGGCAACCTCACGTGCACACTGAATGCTGGGGATGGACACATCATTGATAATTACAGTCCTGAAGAGTGAGTGTTGCCCTGCATGTTATGATAACATATAATAGATATTAATGATATTCTGGATATGTTAACCCTTGTGAAAAAGAAATGCACTTTAGCTTACTTTTAGGAGTACTTATTACGGAAATAATAAACTCGGAAAGAATATACAGTACTTAAGTCTGAGCTGTATATTAATATTAATACATTTAAAAATGTTTTAGTAAAATTAAATTAAAATGTATTATAGTTTAAATTATAGTACATAAAATTAGTTGAACTTAAGAGTGCTTTTTGGACTCACTTAAAAGGGGCTATATGTAAGAATTTTCATGTAGCAATTGCTTTTTATTGCCAATGCGTGGACAGTGTGTAATGAAACGTAAAAAAATGAGACCTTCCCCAACTTCTTAAGTTGTCCTTTTATTGAATGAAAGCCTGTAGACTGATTTTAATGTCAAGGACTCGGGGCGTTTTTGCTCGGGAAAATCAAAAGGATAATGCTAAAAGAGCTATTCTGTACTGTAATGTAGTGTCACGCAAAGAAAAGGGATTAGTCTCACACAGCCAGATATATATATAGTCTATAGTCTCAAATATATTTTATAATCACAACATTGTAATTTTAATTACCACATCTGTCGACGTGAGCTGGTGTAAACACAGTGGCGCCGCTAGCAATTTTGGGCCCTATGAAAGAATATGAGGTTGGGCCCCCTACCGCAGCAAACATACACTATATTGCCCAAAGTATTGGGAAAACTAAAAAAAAACTCATAGCCAAACACCAATGACTTGTACATATGCGTACAATCATTTTAGACACTTCCAAAACTGTGGCAACAAAGATGGAAATACAATTTTTAAATACATGAATTATGTGTCCATCTTTGATGCCACAGTTTTGGAAGTGCCTTTTTCTGTTCTAAAGAAGGGGGTGTCCTAATACTTTTGCCCATATGTATGTACAATTCACTGGTGTTTGGTGATGAGTTTTTGGCTCGAGGTCTGAATTTAGTCACACCAGAGGTGTTCAGCTGGGATGAGGACTTGGCTTTATGCAGACCAGTCAAGTTCTTTCTTTTTAAACCTTGCCTTATACACAGAGGCATTGTTGTGTTAGAATAGAAAAGGGCCCTGTTCAAACTATTGGTAAAAAAATTAGAAGCACACAATTCCCTAGAATATCATTATATGCTTAAACATTAAGATTTGTACTCATGGAAATTACTAAAGTAGTCAAACCTGTTCATTAGAAGGGGGTGTCCCAATACTTTGGGCAATATAGTGTATGTTTGGTGCGGTAGGGGGCCCAACCTCATATTCTTTCATAGGGCCCAAAATTGCTAGCGGCATCCCTGGAGAGAACCAACGACTTTTGAATAAGAACATAGTGTGGGAGAATATGAAGGCGTAGAAGTATACTTATTTTAAAGGAGACCTATTATGTCCCTTTTTACAATATGTAATATGA